TATATATATATATATATATATAAAATGTCAAGCGTCAGTGACGTGAGTCCTGTATTATTGTGATTTTTAGCCCTACATAAATTTGAAGGCCGGAAGTAACCCTGTTGCTCTTTCAGTCTGATTTTTGTTTTTTCCTGCTGGTTTCACAGGCCAGAGCTCAGTGAAATATCCTATTTTATTTCATTCACAAAGCTGAAATAACCACGGGCTACTGTGATCAAATCACATTGCAAACTTCCCTAGTCTGTTCTCCCCATTTTACCACCACTGATTTGGAATCACAATTGACTTGTTCAAAATGTAGACATTTCCTTTGAACAAAAGCTATTGGAGGCGTTTCCCGTTTCCCAAAGCAGATTAGCTTTGAGAATAACCATCAGTAAGCTACTGAGTACTTGACTGTAGATAATCTCCTGTGTTCTGTTTCCTATTAGATTAGGCACTGCCACTAGCTGCACTCACTCATCTTAATATAATTTGGTGTGTAATGAATACATGGCTATCTTCACATGAATGCTTGTGTGTCATCATTAAAATAGCATGTGAGTAATTGCTGAATGTGCAAGGCATGAGTCTTGCATCCTCCAATTAGTGACTGGATAGTAGCCAGGAAAGGGATGGAGTCCTCCTTTCACACTTGAGTCCATGAGTCAGTACTCCTGAGAAGGCATTGTCTGCCTCTCAGAAGCACTAAGCACCCAGGCTTCCAGGTGTCCAACTGGGCACCCAATTCAGCAGCAGCTTTTAGGAAACGAAACCCAACAGGTGTCCACATCGTGTCACATCTATATTTTCAGTGTCAAGATGTGACATCAGCCATCTTTTGAATGACGTTCATCTAAGTGGGGGTATGTCTACACTACACTTTTTTTTTTTCCAAAAAAAAAAAAAAAAGGCTTATGTCCACGCTGCAATCGCGTTCTTTTGGAAGAAAATTGAAAGAACAGAGGGGTTTTTCCAGCATTGGTATCCTCATTCTACGAGGAAGAAGCCTTTTTCCGAGAGAGCTTTTTGGAAAAGTGTGTGAGAACGGGGAAGAGGGAATTCTTTTGGAAGAAGAGGAAGAAGCACAGGTGCCCTGGTGGCCACTCCGTCCATAGTAATCGCAGTTTAAATGCAAGAGAGCGTCCAGTCAGTGTGGACACTATCTCTTGAAAAAGCAGATTGCTTTTTCGATGCTCTTTGGCAGTGTGGATGCTCTTTCGGAAGAAGTTTTTTCGGAAGATCTCTTCTAGAAAAGCTTCTTCTGAAAGACGCCTGCAGTCTAGATGTAGACATGTGTTTTGTCTACATGATAGGTTGGACTCCTCTGCTGTCTTGGTGTTCCAGTATGTAATGAGGGGAGTTTTGTTTTTTGTGCCGAACTCTTCAAGAATAAAAAGCTGGCTATTGATGGAGGACTTCCACCAGCATCTTGTATCTCTCAGCTGTTGAAGCTCAGGGAAACATTAGTGCCTTTTCTGAAGGCCATCCTGTGTAGTTTGGGTGGCTTTTTCAACCATATGCGGCGGGGAAGATGAATTAAAGTGTGACAAGTTTCTTGAATTATATCAACAAACTCTTATCTTTAAATAGATGTTGTTATTGGAGTGGCATAGTAGATAGAGGTCAGAGCTTAAGGAAGAAATTTGTAACAGGATAGGCCTTCTACACTAGGAAAAGAAATCCTGTTTTTAGCTCTGTGGAAGTGAATGGGAATCCACCACCTATATTTCAATATAGCCGGAAATAAGTTACTGCTGGTATTCAGTCCTAAAGACTGCTGCAATTAAATCCTGTGTAAACAAGAGGGTGGTCTGTAGAGGGGCTGTCATGGGAGGTCTTGCCTGATTAGAGTTTGGGTCTGTCTCCGTAGGAATCAAGTCTTTAGTGCTAAGCTTCTACCCCCTCTTCACAATCTGACAAAATAAATCCATTATACTTGTGGTTGCCATGTTTCTAGATGCTGATGACTGGACCCCGGAGGCCCTGCTGCCGCCTTTGCCTTTTTTTGCTCCATTTCCCATCACTTACTGGAGCCTGCCTGCAAGTAGGAGGTGGCCCCAACTGAGCTGAGAGGGGGCTGGTGTGGGTTAATGATCCGGCGCTACTCCCATGCTCCAGTAACCAGACTGTTGGTTTGCGTGCTGTTTAGGATTGCCAGGTCCCGAAAACCAGTTACCTGGTTACCCTAATTCTATTGTTAGCCTGTGCCATATGGCTAGCTATGCTTTAAAAACTTCTCCAGAGCAAAGATTGGAATTTCTTGAATATGCTTCTTCCATAAGAAATTGGAGAAGATCCAGAGAAGAGCAACAAAAATGATTAAAGGGCTAGAAAACATGATTAAAGGGAAGACTGAAAGAATTGGGCTTGTTTGGTTTGGAAAGGAGAAGACTGAGGGGGGACATGATAGTGGCTTTCAGGTATCTAAAAGGGTGTCTCGGAGAAAGGGGAGGGGGAAAATTGTTCTCCTTGGCCTCTGAGGATAGGGCAAGAAGCAATGGGCTTAAACTGCCGCAAAGGAAGTTTAGGTTGAATGTTAGGAAAAACTTCCTAACTGTCAGGGTGGTTAAACACTGGAATAAATTGCCTAGAATGGTTGTGGAATCTCCATCTCTGGAGATATTCAAGAGCAGGTTAGACAAACACCTGTCAGGGATGATACAGACAGTGCTTGGTCCTTCCATGAGGGCAGGGGACTGCACTTGGTGATCTCTCTTGGCCCCTTCCAGTTCTAGTGTTCTATGATTCTATGATGTGTATATTTATCAGTTGAATTCTCAGTTGTAAGTGCATAACAATAGAGCTTTTGCAATCTGTTAAATGGAGAGAATGGAGTAACTCTTTCCTTACAGGAAATGAAGATGAAAGAAGATCAACCAATGCTTAACCTTATTGCAATATTCCGCTGGATCTTACTTAAAATTAAAGCAAGTCCTTCATCCTTCAGCATAATGAGGATTCTAGTTAGAAATGTGACAATCCTACTGCTCATCCCAGTGTGTTTTTGTATGAGAGTCTCCTTAAGGGGTGCTCTTCCTCCCAGACAACCCAATTCCTTCTGTGGTCTTTAAGCCAGTCCTGTCCTTCCTTCCTCATTTACAAAGTGAGAATAAATAATACCGACCCCACCCTGGTGTTTGTAAAGGGATGAGTGGGGGGATGAGGAGAAAAGCACAGCCAGCATGTTTGACTTCCCTTCCAGTCCATATTAAGGCACTGTCTAACCACCTCATCGCTACATCTTAACATATTCCTACCAATGTTAGTCATCGGTAGCTGCTTTCTGTTGGCATTGCAATCTGTAGTTACTACAAGGCAGATCATTAAGTTTAAAGATTACTAAGAGCATTCGTCAGCATTAATGAGTTTCTGTTTATCTAGACACAACACAGGGAGTCAGGGTCACTTTTGCTTTGCAGAGCCTTTGAGAACTAGAAGTGAAAGTATTGAATAAGTTTTTTTTCCCACTCAGCTGGTTGTAAGGAATGGGCCCTCCTATCTCTAGGTGTCTGAACTCCATGCAGTTGGCAGGTGTAACCTTTGGATGAGAGATCTCTATGGAATTCAAACAAACACACAAAAACAATAGCATGTGCAAACAGCTGAATTCACTCGGGCATATGATGGCTGCTCAGAGGGAGTCTGACATGGTAGCTTAAACACAACAGCAAACTGTCTACACTAGTGTGGCAGCTGTAAAATTGTACCAGTGCTAAGATTTGGAGGAGGGACTAAAATCTCAGTGTTCATAAGGCCCATGTGCCAAAGTGTAAGAAGGGATCGCTGGCAAGAATCTGTTGCTACTTGAGCATATTTAGGAAGGCTTAGAAATGTGATCTGCATGTTCATGCTCTGAATTAATACATTTAAACTACACATACTCTTATGTTGACTAGAAAAAAAAGCTGTTTTCCATGCTGTGTGTTCGTACATTATTTGTTAGGAAAATTCCACTTCAGCCATGGGTTAGCACCACAAACCAAAGTGTGAGTTTCACTTAAAAGTGATCCATCCTACATCCATTAACTTCAGAACTGTGTAAAGTCACATGATTGAAGGAA